TATTGTTTTTGAGGCCCTGTGTAATTGTCAGCAATGATGTAGGTGAATTCAGGTGTTGCTAGGGAAACGCAAAGGCTTGGGTTGGGACTTGGAATAAAAGAAGCTTTGGAAAAGCCCACATAAAAAGTCAGCAAGTTCTTCGGTTTTGAGTTTATGTAAAGCCATCTGATTTGATTTCAAAATGAAAAATAAAATATGATAAAACCATGTTCCTGACGTTCTTGTGTTTAGTGAAGCACACATTAAAGGAGTCCTTTGCAAAGTCTTGTTGTTGTTCTTATTCCAGTTTGGAATGTCAGGTATGGCAGAAATTCACCACTTAAATGAAAAGACTATTGCCCACCAGCTACAGTAATGCTCCTTGAATGCTTAGCTCCATCTTCACACTCTGAAGAAAACTCCTTTCTCTCATCTGGCTGTGACAGTAAATCCTGAAGACCTGGCACTTGCTACATTTTTCACAACTCCATGAACTCTGATGGACAAGTCCCTTTGAACAGCTCAGATCTGTGTTTTTCTGTTATTTCATTGTTAGTTGCAAATGCAGCTTTAGAACAGTACTGTGGTTATTATGCTTAGATTGTCATTTTAATCGCTGTTCTGAGGGATAGAAAAATATTCTAACAGCCCCATTACGCAGAAGGGTCAGGCAGAGAAATTAGAAATCACTTCACAAATTGAGTTAAAACGGAATTTAGGTAGGCCAGGACATGCAATTCCAAAGTGGAATATCACACACAATCAGGTTCTGTTTTTGAAACACAGATGCATAGAATCTGTGTTTCAAGAAACACTGAATTCACTTAGTTTGCACTGAGAATCCTCTTCAGTTTCCTTAGAAAATGTGCATGTCCTTGTTAATAACTTCAGATATTGTTAATGCAGTATGTGTACCCAGAATTGAAAAATCACTTCAAATGCTTCTCATACATACATTTCTTCAGCTGCACTAATGTGGTTATGCAAGTGGTATGCATTTGTCCAATTGTTTTATCAGCTTTCTGGTTTGAATAAAAAAGCAGGCCACAGCCATATAGAAATCTTTTAAGTGTTGCCGTGATTTCAGGCCTTTGATGCACAATACCAGTAAAAGCTTGAAGACTCTGGCACTGATGATAAATGGAGAAACAAGATAAAACATTTGTATGCTCAAGACTTTGAAAATGAAAAGGGGAGATTCATCGTTAAAAAACTAAATTGCTAAACCAGGGTAGTCTTTATTAAGTGGTTAACAAATGCCAGTTTTTATTTTGTTAGGATTGTCTGCATTTTGTAGAGGTTACATCAGCACCTATAGAACTATACAGTATATGTGAATATGGCAAATGAATGTGCCAAGTGTAATGTAAGAGAGCACCTATCAATTAGCCCAAATCTTATTTTCAGACTTCTCATCCAATTCATTGCTTCAGGAGAAACTGAAGTTGTAAAAATGTTTTGTTCACATTTTTATTTAAAATTATATATTAATTTTCAGTAGTTACTCTTTGTTTGCAACAAAATAGAAACATTTTATTGTATCTGAGGACAAATGAGTGAGTTAATTTTATTTATTGTTAAAAAATATGGCGAGCAAAGTCTACAATAAAGATTTTTACTCAAGAAATGGCCAGACTGAGATCAGTTTCACTGATGTTTGTATTGACAGAAATTTCTTTAGGATCAGAAAACATTTTTATCTGTGTGTTTTTAGTGTGTTAGAGAGCATATTTGAATAAAACATTAAGAGTAGATGTTGATATGTTAGTTTAAACCCTGTTCAAGCTCTGACTTGAGCTGCCTGCTGTACCTGCAGGATAGGTTATGGGTGGTACAGTGCTAAGCGAATATAAAAGAATAGTTTTTGCTCAGGATTGAATATTTTTCGTCATTCCTTTCTAATTAATCTTTTTAATTCTTCTTGTACAGAAGTGTCTTGCTCAAGGGTGAAACATTAGTACTCCACCTAGTATTTTAACCCACATCCTCCAGTGAGTCTGGCACACTGCTGCCATTTCAAGATTCCCAAATTAAAACAACATTGCATTGTGTGGGTAATAAACCTGTACCTTAATCAGGTTATTTTTAATGTTTCTCCTGCAAAGAGGTAACACCCTTTCTTTCAAAAGCCATGTCTGTCTCTTGGGCCATGTTTATCAGTGCTCTCCAAATTGATTTGTCCCGGTGTTGTGTGTGAGGATCTGGTCTGATGCTGATTTTATTTCTTAGTATTTCTATTTGGAAATATCTTCATGGCCTGTATACCTAAGGGGAGCTGCTGCAGCCTTCAGAAGCTTTTTATATACAAATTTAGAATCACCATGCCTCGCTACACTGGGGCCCAAGGTTTCTGGATTTCTGGGAAAATTGGCCCTGGTGACTATGTTTGTGTCTATGTGATTGCCCTGTGATGGACTGGCATCCCCTCCAGAGTGTACTGAGAAAATGGCCAGACCTTGCGCTCGTTGCTTGCTGGGATAGCTCCAGTAACTAGAAGAAAATGGATGGATTTGGTATTTGTGTTTTGTACTTCTCGGCTAACGGCTCACAGCTACCAACCCCATGGCCATACACCGGAGAAAATAAGGAAGTGTGGGCAGAGTCCTGAGGCCTGGCCACCTGTGAGCCACTTGTGTTTTAACGTGTCACAGGACCAACAGTCCCAGTATACAGCTCCTTTGCCAGTGGGAGAAGAAACACATCCCTTGCTGACAGCACTGCATTCTTTAAAATGACTGCATGTGGTAGGGCTGTCCTTGAAGGTTTATTTATCTGATTGGATGCTACAATGTGATCTTCTCACAAGGCTGAGATAAACATGCTTCAAATTATCAAGCATACTAATACGGTAATGAGATTTGTTTTACAGTGTGCAATGTGAACTTATCACCTCCAAAATTAGCAATGCTTCATCATGTTCAAGACTGCCCCCACAGAAAAGATTCTGGGAATTTGGATACATTTACAGTATATACACATTTATCTAGAGGACGTGTTTTATCTGTATATAAGGTACATTTTTATTGATCTTTTATTTGTAACTTCTGTGCATGACTACTGCAAAAATGAGATATGGCAGTAATTCTGTTGAAAGAGCTTCTGAATCCTTACAGAGTTATACAGCAGCAGGACAGGGAACGCCAAGTTCGAGTATGATGAACCTCAGTACCTTCAGGTTTTCATTCCAACTGATTACCGGGTTACTTAGTTGGACACATTATTGAAGTAATTAGCGTAACCATACATGTTCTCAATCATTTATCAAGTTGTTTTAAGGACGACAGCTTTGATATTTTTGATGTAGTTTGAAATTGTCATCTGATTTTGTGGTGGAAATGGAGTTGGAACGAGAGTTGAAAAGGACTGGTGTAAGATGACTTTCAGTTGGATTGAGGCCTTAATTAAATAGCTCATTTAATTTAGCTTAATTAAATTAAATTAAAATCCAACATGTTGACATTCTAGGACTAGACTGGGTGATATATGCTGTTCAACTATTACAGAAGGAAAACTGCTAAACCATTAAATGTCATAAAAGATCTGCATCACACCAATATAAGCACCCCAAGTGAAAACCATATAATGTGTCAAATACTTCATGAATGTGTCTTGTAGGTAAATTGGATAGGGTTCTTCATTTTGTTTAGAAAATGGTGTACTGTACCTCTGTCTCTGTAGAATGTTGTATTTAAGAGCATTTTAACTATCTGTCATGTACTGTATGTATATCAGTGATGCCTTTTAGCAGTTTAAACCAGATTTGTTTTGATTTTAGTGTTTCAGTTTTTTGTTAAAATGAAATAAACAGCACTGTCTGGACATTCACTTGTTTTAATCAGAAGGTGTAAATGGCTAAAATAGATACAGTACAGTTTGTATTACTGTGTTTTTGGGATGCCACCAGGTAAATTCATTTCAGTTGGAAATTATTTTATTTTGTGCCTTATGCAACTTCAGCTTCCAGAGCAGAAGTCGGTGAATCATTACCTTCATTTCTGTTGACACTCAAATGGCGCAAGAGTTTTTATATGCATGTTTGAATATGAGGGGAATCTTCTGCAAGTCAGCACAGGGAAGTGTGTTTTCACAAGGCAAGAAACAAACCTCTGACTCGGTTTCTCAGTAGAAAGTTTACCCTCCAGGGCTATAAACTTCATCAAGTTTCTTTCGTTTAGGTAATTTGTTGCCATACAAAAGAATTCTGAAACAAGAATTTTGTAGCCTGCAGTTACCCTTAATATTTTCTTAGCTCAACATAAACTTTAACCTAATGGTAATATTTTTCACTGGTTGAGTCATGAAATATAGCTTAGGCACTATATACTGGGTTTGAAAGTGTTATAATGTTGAATTAAAATAATACAAATGTATATTAAAACAAATTTCATACTAGTACTTCATGCCCTACTACTTATCTTAAAGGTGTGTTTTGTCAGTACTGTATATGGCATATTGCTTAATATAAGGTCATTTTAAAATCCAGGACATTTATACTAGGATTGTATGCACAAACATTTGATTAAAGGTCTTTATGTTTTCAGTGTATGTTCTCAACTTAAAGTAGAGGTTCTTCTGCTGTATTTTCTTCTGCAGATTTTAATCGTGCTGTTATTTTAACAAGCATTGGACGTTTCGCTGATATTAAAATGTGACAAAAATAGTTTGTTGTACTTTATGGTTTCCCAGGGTTTGTTTGTATGGTCACACAAATACAAATCCTATGGCTGGTGCTGCTGGACATTGTAGTTGGAGGGCTTGCATCTCCGTCGGGGTGATAGATGTGCTTTTAAGTGTTCAATCTGTGATACCAATTAACCATTGTTATTGATGTCATAGCATTTAAGATTTCCTCTGAGCTCATTAACATGTATAGAGCTTCATGTCATCTAATACCTATAAACAATGTATACTACCCTTCATGTCATCAGGTACCTTTGAACAATAACGTTTTTTCCATGCCTTGCTTTGCTTTCCTTCAAAAATGTGTTCTAATTTCATTTTCTTGTTGCTCTTGCTCACAGCGGAAGTCGCTCATCGAAGACGTTTAAGCCGAAGAAAAATATTCCTGAGGGCTCCCACCAGTATGAGCTCCTGAAACATGCTGAAGCCACTCTAGGAAGTGGAAACCTTTGCATGGCTGTCATGCTGCCTGAAGGGGAAGACTTGAATGAGTGGGTGGCAGTGAACAGTAAGTTTGCAGGACAACAACAACTGGAACAAAAAACATTCACTGAAAGTAATTGGAGGTGAATGCATGAATTCTGCACACTCTTAAATCGGTATAAAATTGGCAATTATCTTGAAAAAAGTATTACATCCTCTTAAAAATAGGACCAATCTCTGCAGAGTATGTGTACAAATCTGAGTACTTTGGAAAGAAATGTCTTGCAGATCACCAGTTTTCTTTCTTTCCTTGGATTTAGTGCCACTGGCTGAAGAATGATGTGGAAAAGTAGTGCTTACTGAAAGAGAACAAAATCTTTGTCATGATTAATAGGATGTCATCACCAAACAGAAATGAATACTGTCGTATTTCCACAGTTGGCCAAAAGCTTTTTAATGCGACCATTCCAAAATGGAAATTATCATTGTCCAGAGGTTAGACAATGACAGTAGACTATTTGCAAACAGAGGTTGTACAGGGCAATTTAAATCACTGCTACTTAACATGTGGCCCTTTCAGTCCAGTCCCAACACCTTGCTAATTCTTATATTGATCCTGCTGATGGCCAATTGAATAAATATATTAATTCAATGGTTGGAGTGAAATTCATAAATGGCTTAGTTTGGAAGGGCCACAAGATGAGTAGCCCTGGTTTCTACTAATTATACTAAATTATACTAATTGTTGAAATATTAGTAACAGAACAGAGGTGTCAAACTCAGGTCCTGGAGGGCTTAGTGTTTTCTGATTTTTGTTTCAACCTTAGCAGACAAATAGGCTTATTATTTTCTTGAACATGTATGGAATTTTTTTAAATGTCTTAATAACTGTTGATTATTCAAAGTATTTACTTCAGTAAGGGTACTGTCACCAACAAATCAACTTGGGGCCAGGTTAGAAGCATTACAGTGATTCAGTTCATTTAATGATTAGCACAACTACAGTACTGCATATGCTGTAACTGAGAGCTGTGGTGGAACAAAAGACACTACAATTTTCCAGGAATGGTGTTTGAGACCTCTGCCCTAGAACATTGGGTTTGTAGAGTAACAGGCAGCAAAATGATCATTAACTGCTATAATATAAATACATTTTATATTAAAATGTATCATTGTCTTTGTTCCAGTGTCAAAAACCTCAGTATTTGCTCTCATGTATGTAGAGTACTGGCCGATTACAATAGGGAATAATAAGTTTAAAAATTAGGCTTGAAAACATATTGCAGTGCAATATTGAAAATACTATATAGGCAATATCAGACAACTCTATGTACACAGTGGTGTCATAAGTATTAAATCCACAGTTTCTACTCCTGTAAAAAAGATGACAAAATGGCAAGAATTTGACAAAATATGTTCAAAATATGCAATAAGAATTGTGTGTCTCAGCAGCTCTGATTTTTTCAGTATCATTTTATTCCTCAACCAATACTCTGGATATTTTTTTCAATCACTGCTCCCTTTTTAAAATACATTTTCAATTTGTGTAGAACAGTGGAAATGAAAACGCTGGATGTAGCCTAAACTCGTCAGGCTCATTTTCACTTAGGAGCAAGTAGAGGTCAATTCCAAAAAAAAGCTCATGGAAAACCTTTTACTAGAAGGTAAAAAAACAGCATTCTGGGTGCTGTACTTTACAGCCAAATCACTGTATTTTTGCTTCTTTTTTTCACTGTAGAATTGACCTCTACCTGTTTCTTTGTGTCTTGCATAGTATTACAGCTCTCCACTCTACCATTTTTCACTTAGTCAAGTTCCCTATGCCCTTTATGAAGGAGCCATTGTAAATCACCACTGAGGTGTCTCTGCTTTTCTACTTGTCTCAGAATTGGGCTCAGTAAGCCCAATTGTAGACATCCCTGGGCAATTAGGAGGGTCCTTTGCAGTCTAGGGTAAAGAGGGAGCCTATCTGATGCATTCCCCTAGGACGAACAACTTTGTGACCTCATGAAAAAAAAAGATCAATATTCCATTTACAGGCACAGCTGAATATGGTTTGAATGATGACATGTACAGCATTAAAAAAAAGACTGTATGGAGAGATGTTAGATGTTATGCTAATAGAGAATGAGATTAATGAGTATGCCTAGCTGTTTTCCTTTTTTGTTTATTATTTTTTTAAATCTAACAGTCTCTTATAAAAGGGATGTAAGTAAAGAAGAGTCAGTATCCCAATTAAAATATTATTGATTGTATTGTCAGTGATACTGTGAGTGAAACTGGCAAAGGAATATGCTTACTTTGAAAATGTTGAGGGTGTGCTTAAATTATTTCATGACAGATCCAGAAATTATTCTGCTTCAGTGGTTGGTAAACATTTGGAACAGTGTTGAGTGTTAAACCTCAAATAACCTTTACTATTGGATGCATCAATATATACTTTATTACATAAGCAGGCCTCTATGGTAGACAACAATTTCAATTTAGTAGTCTATAATATAGGGCCTTTGTAGTTCTTTAGCCGATAGAGTGAGAGTGTCCAATTTAAATGGGATGTCAAAAACCACCACACATTTCCAAATTTTCCAGATAGACAAACACTGAATTTCCTAAAGAGCCTCCATGGTTTCTTTGTTCTCTCTACTTGCCCCTGAATCTAAGCTATGTGGCAATTTAGATCTAGACAAATGGTACTAGGAAAGCATTGTTATTGCTTAATTTCCCCAGAGTCCACGTAAACACATACCAAAAGATAGAAATAATGCAGCATTAGCCAGTATAATAACTTATGGTGTTCCTGCGCTGGAAAGATGTCCGTTAATCATGTTGGGTTGTTTTTCTGGACATCAAAGATTTACTTCTGACATTTAATAAAATTGGAAAAGCAGCTCCCTTTTCACGCTCTGTGACACTGGAACTCGTTCAGTGTAATCGGCGTTAAATTGATGCCTGGCCTCCCCTCCTTTTCCTTTGAGTGTTTGCTCGTGGGATATATTACCGACACTAGCTTCAAGGTCATGCATTGTGAGGCTTAGGGAACACGATGCCACATTTTCAGGAACAGTGTTGGAACTGAGTTTCAGGAGGGTGAGAGAATGTTATTCAAGCAATCTTTTGATATCAAAAGAGTTTTCATTTTGCCCTCATTAAACTTTACAAAAGTAGCCAATTAAACACCTGAAATAGATCATGTGAATGTAAAAAATGAATGTTTTATAAAGCCAATGCAGGTCAGTCATCATAAATTTGAGTCAATTTTGTATTAACTTTCGTCACAATTCATTTGCATTAATTAATCTGCATTTTTCCAAAATACTTAGCGATCCATGTATTATAGTTACATTAACGCACTGCTGCTGTCTTATGTGCATTCAAATAAAAAAGAATATTTGTGTGGGGAAATAGGGTTACAATTTGTCTGGATTCCATGTGGAAAACCAGCACAGTTTTTTACCTCTGCACTGTCTGGGCAGAATTCCTAAGGCAGTCTTATAGTTTGGAATGGAAAAAAGGTTGTGAGGTGGACTGCCTCTTGTCGAGAGCCGCAGCTCTGGAAAAGCAAAGGAATCACTCCCAGAAAGAAAATCAATATCCCCCATGTTAAAATTGGTATCTTTGGTCAGAGACACTATGCTAAACACATCAAGTTAATACAAAATTAGGCCTAATACAAAAATCCAAATTTCTTTGAGAGCACACCATAGTGTGTTGATTCCCAAAAAATGTGACAATACTATAATAATAGTGCTTATATTTCTAATTATCACAAAGGAAATGTATCAAGAAAAAAGTTGGGTATTTTAATTTGGGTATTATATCTGTATTTTACTGTTCATCAGTACAGGCATTTTTTTCACATTATGGGTTTGAGTTCTGTTTTATTTTTAAGCACTCCAAGATAAAAGCAAAAACATTGCTTAGGGCTTCAGTTTAATTTTAATTGCAATGTATTTAATTTACAAATATTAACCAATTGGCTTTATGAACAGTAGGGCAGCACAGCTCTTCAGAGTTTGAATGTTCTCCCTTTGTTTGTGGGGTTTCCTTTGGGTGCTCTGGCTTTATCCCACAGTCCAAAGATATACTGGTTGGTTAATTGGTTTCTGGGAAAACAGGCTCTATTTAAGAGTGTGTACGTGTCTGTGTTTGTGTCTGTGTGTCTGCCATTTGATGAACTGGTGTCCCATCCAAAGTGTATCCTGCCTTGCACCTGATGCTTGCCTGAATAGGCTCTGACTCCATTACCTTGAGTTGAAATAAGTATTTAGAAAATGGATGAATGGTTTTATAAACAAGTGCTTTGGGCTGAAAACAACAGTCTTAGAAATCAATAGGTGGCAATGTGCCACATTCATAAATATAATTGATCCTTTGTTCTTGATTGCAGAGGACTATATGATATAATGTATTATAATAAGTAAGGCTGATGAATGAATAGAACTGTTAGCTAATTTAGACAACATTGTGCAGTGTAATTGTTGCTGTGGGCTCAAAAATACTTCATAATGTGAGAGGGCTTGTGTGATGCCTGATAAATCATGTTATTGTGCATTGAATAATAGCTTAAATTGTACATAATCTCACACTTCACCATGTTACAACATTTTAGGAAAGCCACAGTGTTCAGAGAAAGCAACATTAAGTAACTAAGTACAGATTTCTTGAAAAAGATGGATCTGTTTGGGCTGTCAATAAATGTAGACTCTAGTAGGTGTCTGTAGTACCCTAAGAAGTGGACACTGTTATTTGTCCAGTACAGCAGTGATATTGGGGAAATTAGGAACCGCACTAAAGACCAATGCACAATATTGTGTTCTTAAACCTTTGAACAGTACTGTAAATCCCCGCTACCTTAAAAACAGTTCTTCATTTACAGTTGATTTAACACAGCTGTGTTTGTCCTTTCAGAACAAATCTGTGAAGTCTAAGATGCTTAGTTCAATTTTCTTTTCCAATTCATGCTTTTCATGTAGGTACCAATACATATTCCAGCTTTGCATGTGAACACTTTATTTCTACCTTTCTATTTCTGCTATGCAGCTGTAGATTTCTTCAATCAGATCAACATGCTGTATGGGACGATCACTGACTTCTGCACGGAAGAGAGCTGCCCTCTTATGTCAGCTGGACCCAAGTATGACACTCTGTTTTCTGTGTTTCCGTTTGTGGCTGTCCTTTTTGCATGGAGTTAGAAGAACTCCCTCATCCTGTCAAGCTTTAAATTTAAAATTATTTTTAATTAGAGGAATGTCTGTTTTGTGTACTTGCATGTATTTATTTAGGGTGACACAGTGGCATGTTGATTAGTGCTCTTGCCTCTCAGCTCTTGAGCCCAGGGTGTAGTCCTGCTTTGTGCTGAATGCATCTAGGATTGATTCCAAGTTACCACACCAGTTACCACACCAGCAATAAGCAGATTCCTAATAATAGATGGGTATATGTATTTAAACTCAGCCATGTTGTTGAGTGGTTGCTCAGTTCATTGCTTATTTTATTGTATTTAACTGCGTAGATTAATTTTTTGCTTTATTCTCTTTTAGGTATGAGTACCATTGGGCAGATGGAACTAATATAAAAAAGCCAATTAAATGTTCTGCACCGAAATATATTGATTACTTAATGACTTGGGTACAGGACCAACTTGATGATGAGACACTCTTTCCATCAAAAATAGGTACAAAAGGTTTTGGCTTGTTTTAATGTTGTTTAATGTTAACGCTTATGGAAATGATATTGTGTTTCTAGAAATATGCCTGACATCCATAAGGATTTTGTATTTGTATTTGGCAGATTCCTTTATTTTAAGTGACATATAGTGATACGTGATAACCTGACAAAAAGAATACAACTCAAAGTCATGACAACTAACAGAAAATGTGTTAAATTATCACCTTCAGGGATGTTTTCAAAGGACCATTTGCGGTTAGAAAACATTCTTAAAATAGCTTATTCTATATAATAAATAATTATAAAAGTAGAATAACTTGCAAAAACAGTTGTGATAAAAGGTCACTTAAAAACAAGCTCATCTTGGATTATGTCCCATAATTCCAGGATTATGCAGTGAATGTCTACTGTAAATCATGGGTGTATCTCATCCTTCAATAATCAGTTTGTACTGAATGGGCACACACATGGGTTTTGATCAACATTGTAAGCTGATTGATTCAATTAAATCAAGAATTACCAACTGTGGTCCTGAGATCTACAGGGTTTTAATATTTCCATTTCAATCAAGCTGTCTACTGAAAGGGAAAATGCAAAAATATATTCATTTTCAGGATTAGAATCAGCATTAATGGGTGCATTTCAAACCACAATAAAAGTAAAATCTATACTTATAAAACCTCCAATTCACATCAGATGGACAAATAGATGGAATTTCTAGGTATGTACATATTCCGTGATTCAGAATGAGACAACAAAACATCAGATGATGTCAACCAGCCTTATTACATTGTAAACAAGCAGGCAGAACACATTTCTTTAATCCAATAGAAATATGGCTCCCAACGGTTTTGCCAATAAATGGACCTTACTTGTCAGCTCTGCATGAAGATCATGTTGGAAGATTTCTACGGTGAAATTTCTGCTGCACAACCTGTACTTATGCACTCATACATCCATTGCAGAAAGTCATTAATTACAGTGACTAGTGAGCAGGAATGGTGGCTTCACGCCGCAATTCTCGTGAAGTCTTGCTCTTACCTGTTGTGAGACCAGAATTTTATGACAACATGACTTACAGTACTTTCACAAAGTTAACTGTTTTGTACTTAATTCGTAATTTTACATTTATTCTGTACCATTGATTAATTTATTTTGTTACCGAGATTTAATAATGGGTCTGAGAAATTGGGACTGCAGTTCTCTTTTAATGGAACAATTAATCAGCTTCAGAAGTTAAAAAATGCTCCACGTATTTAGAAATGGATCATTTATGGATGACCCATGAAATCTGCTGGATTGTAGCCTTGCAGGAACCACCCTATGATCAAACATGATTAGTACGGTCCATCCCTGCTGTAGCAGACTCATTTGCGTTTGGATATCTACATAAACTTTTATTGCAGAAACAGCAGATGCTCTTTTCAAATTACACTGCACTGACTGAACAATTTTGTGTAGGTCTGTTCCAAGCTGGGCTGGAATTTAAAATTCTGTCATGTTCCTTTTCTTCTTCTCCCTGTTGTGCTTTTTTGATTGTCAACTGTGCATTGTGATACCATTCTCAAGCCAGAGCGTCATCATTTCCTAGTTACAGTTCCCACCGTGCCGCCCTACCCATATTTTAAATTGCTCATTATTAAAACATTACAAGGTTCTGCAGTGTAATTCCAGAATGTTGTGGTTCAACATTCCCCTGTGTGTTTCATTGTAAACTTTTTATTTTAGGTGTTCCCTTTCCAAAGAACTTCATGTCTGTGGCAAAGACCATCTTGAAGCGTCTGTTTCGGGTGTATGCCCATATATACCACCAGCACTTTGATGCTGTAATTCAGCTACAAGAAGAGGCTCATCTTAATACATCGTTCAAGCATTTTATTTATTTCGTTCAGGTAAATGAATCCTTTGCACATATGTGGTTTGCCACCGAGGTTCAGAGGTTTATTGGATTTGTCTTGAAACGTATATTAAAAATTAAAAAATTAAAAATAACCATGCAAAGTATGGAGCTGTTTTTCACTTTTGTGATTAAAATCAGTGTAATAAAAGATTCAAAGACTGGAAGGGTTTTATACCGCTTGAAGACAAAATCTTGTCAAAAATGCATTTGTGAATTCAAATAAAAAAAACAATAAAAAAGAGTGCTATAGAGTACAAAGTGGATTTATATAGTTTCAGTACTTGAAATTGTTCTTTTGTTTTTTTCTTTAGGAGTTCAACCTGATAGATAGAAAAGAGCTTGCTCCTCTTCAGGAACTGATTGAAAAGCTGACTTCCAAGGACAGATAAATGGGGATATGCCAGCTCTGTTTTATTTTCAGTTTCTCCAGTTTCTTTTTTTCTGTACAAACAACTTGCTTCATTTTATGTACTACATTATGTGATAAGGATTAGGGGGATGTTTCTTAGTGCTGTAGAACTAAGACAGACCGTTGATGCTTAGCAGATTGTTGGCAAATGTTACTTGGGGCAGGTGACTTTAACATCCTACACATTCACATTACTGGTGGGTTAATGTTTCACATATCGCCAGTGTTACTCTGAAGTAAATCCCTAAACAGAGCTCATGTCTTATTCAAGTGCCTAATCAGGTTCACAGATATGTAGGTACAGTCCTGCTGAAAACAGCTGCAATTACAGTACATTTAGATGACTGACAAAATGCAATTAAAATCAGTGCTCTAGAGTTTATTTAATGAATTTATTTACCTATGCTTGCTTGGTGAGATCTGTCTTTGTGCAGAAAATCTTCACACACTCAAAGGTACTTCCATTGACCTTCCTGATGGTACACTACGAAGGTGTTCGGGATATATGTTTTCATTTTGTTTTGTTTGAGACTTTTAAAAAATAATAACTTATGAATAGCTATACTGAACTCTGGCGTTGTATAATGAAAGTTGTATATTGAACAATTTACAGAGTATATATGTGTGTACATTTTTGAAAAACCTCCTTTTTGGAAACATAGCACTTGTCAGTTTATTGTGCCACACTACAGGCAGTGAACCTTACACAAAAGAAGAAGATGCTAGCTACTGGTCCAGGGCAACATTATAGTAGTTTCGGCTATGGAGAATTAGGTAAATCTTAGGTCTTAGTGACAGTTTCTCTGTTAAAACATGGAGAGAGGTTAGCTGAAAAGGATAGTTCAGTATAAAAGGCACAGAACAGATTGGTTTACGAATACACCAGCCATGGTACCATGTAATCCTTAAGTGGGCAATGCTGTTTTTTACTTATTTTCCCAATTTAATGGATCGCTTTGTCTTCACCTAATTACCTTCACATTAAGATTTTAATTAAACAGCTAGAAAAATGAAAAAGCTGATTCACTTGGGATGAATCAGAAAGCCTGGTCTGACTGCTTTTCAAGCCGAATGATGTTTATACCCTTTGATTTTTATTCTGCTTTGAACACAACTAACAACTTCTGTTGAACTATTTTGCTATAATAGTCAACAAAGGAGTCTCTACAATGGAACCAAATTTAAAAAAACCCACAGAAAAGGTTTTGCGCTGTTACTCATTTTAACTGTCTAGTAAATGATTTGTAGTACCTCACACTGGGCAGTTAAATGTCCAACACTGTGAATAGCTCTAGTACCATTGTCCAGTGGCAGCATAAGAGCACTGGTAAAAGACAGTGAATTTTCTAAATGGTTTGAAGTACACACCCTCAGGTTCAGAGAACCTATTCAATGGAATTGAATTTGAAATCAGTGGTAGATTAGGATGTACTTCAGCATCTTTGATAACTTGAAATTAAATGCCTTCCTCAATGTATCCCCTCAGGATGCCCCAGTTTTCCCCCACAAAGTGCCAGACTTGCAGACCTTTTTATCAGTGTATGGACAGAATTTTGTTACAGCATTTAAGTATAGTGATTCACTGTGAGCAATAGCTGAGCCAAAGTCCTGAAGTAAAAGGAGGGCTTTTGAGGGACTTTCAAATTGTATTTGAGCTGTAGTTTACTATGCAATCTAATGTGCTTTCCATTGCACTAGATAAGTATTTGCATATACATCCTTGTAGCACTTAAAACTTCAGAATTAGCTTAATTTTAGGTATGAATATTAAACTTTGGCTGGAGTGTGGTGGTGTTCTTTTTTCAAAAGGTGTATATACAGATATTCAGAGTTATTTATCCAGAAATGCATTGTTACATGTTAGAGGACACCAGCTGCCTGCATTTTCAAGGACTGTGGTGGTAATAGTTAAAAGGATGTTGCCTGAGGGAAAAATTACATATTTGGGATTTTTTAAAGCATTTTGTGTAGTTAAATGAAAGTTTGTTGTACTTTTACAGTTATTCAGATAATACGACATTTCTTTTAACTCCATAGTAAACCTGATACACAGACTACTTAAAACTGAATTAAAATAGAGAGTAATAGGTCACTCAAAGGACTTCCACATTATCTTTCATTGTAAGGTGCAGACTACAGTAAATTGCATTTAACTCATTCACTGTAAAACTGGTCATCCGAAGTACTTGCTTTAGTTTATTCCTGTTATACTTATTAGTATTCTTATTCATGTTTTGCACTTTTTTGTTTTTTGTATTATTGCTTTTATTTTAAAGCATTTTCTGGAGGTTCAATTTAGCTAAAGTTAAGGAATGCAGACTGTTCCACAAAACTACATATGTTGTAGCATATGCAGAAAATCACACACTACTACTTCAGAGCTCATTTAAACATTGGGCATAGATTTATTCATAGATGTCCATTTTATCATTTTTAAGGGGTTTAAGTAAAAAGAATAAGTGACACGTTTATTTTGAAAATAATATTATGCGATCTAAGATTTGTTTCATTAATGTTTAATGAAGTGTGTTTGGAAGAAACTGAAGAGTTCATTATATAATGCTGTTTGAACTGACATACTGTAAAGTACCTGTGCCAACTGTTTTCTGCTCTTGAAAAAAAGATTCAGGCAGATTTGTGCTGATTTGTAAAAATGCCCATGTGAAATTAATTTTTTAGTTGTAATATACAACACATTTATGCGGAGAAGGTTGTAAATAATGTACACAGACTGTGTTATGTGGTGGGATTTAAGATATTAAAATTATAGGATTTTGTGGTATGATGAATGCTGTTTATAAGGACAATAAAAGCTACCTTTGACCAAACCGTTATTGTGTTATTTTAAAGGCTTTCCCCAATAACTAAACAAAGGAGCTCCTACCAGTCATTGAAGATTTTAGTCCTTTTGCAGAGTTTACTCTTTGGATTCTGTTTAAATTTGTTTATTTGACACTTCTGTCCAAAGCTTCTTGTAAAGCAGGGCACTTTACTGAAGCAATCTAAATAAAGTTGTGTGCTCAAGAGTGTGACAACAGTGCCCTACCAGAATCCGGGCCCACAACCTAGATGTGAATCTAGAGCCCTAACCATTACTCCCCAATGCTGCCAGATTCTAATGCGTAGATTAAAAATTTAAACCTTAACTAATTGATTTCCTTGCAAAATGCTGACATTTCAAGCAGATTAAACATGCTTCCTAATAAATATTTTTCTAATAAGAAACCTTTCCATCAGAACATTTTTTATTTCCTTAGGGCTCACTTGGATGAAGGGCTTGTGATGGGAGTGAAGAAGGGCTATTTTAAATGAGCATGCGATAGCTGAAGATTAAATTGCACATGATCACACAGGGAACTCCCTCTTAGAAAATGGGATACCCCTTTCTCTCTAGGGCACTTTCCACTGAAAGCTTATTCTGGGTGGGTAGCACACATTTCTGTTGTGTGCATCTGGACAGATTACCACTATACGTTGTTGAAAGATCCATGAAACTTCAAATTGATGTAATACTGGTGACCACTGCATCCGTAAAAGTCTTTCATAACAATAATTACCTCAGAATGTTTTCTACCTTTGGTTGAAATCAGGAGAACGTACTAGCTGTTTTTCCTCACCTAAAAAGATATGATGTAATTATAAATGTTTGGTACGTATCGATTTTAATTCCCTCCAATAAGACGGTGAAAAATACAAGACACATGAAAAAAATGGTTCTTCCAGGTCTTAACGTTCTTTTAATTTCAGTGCTTTTCTACGAATAATTACTGTACTTATCTTCCTTTAATTTAGTAAGAGCAATGGACTCTTCTAAATTAGAAGAAGATGGAGACAGAGGAAGTACAGGTATTACTTCAAACAAAGCAAAATAATTTTAATATAAGTTTTTCTTCAATTAGGCTAATTGGAGGAGTATGTACAGTACAGCAGCTGTTAATGACTAATATTTTATATGGGCTGGCAAATAGTTCATTGATGAAAGCACACTGAGAATGTATTTTAAGTGTATAATGTACTTGAAATAATTTCATTTTCTCCTTCAGTACACACAATAGTGGATTTTGTACCTGAATGCTAAAACTAGTCTAGAGGATTTCTCACTTGTGACTGTGGTGCCATCAATAGAGGTGCAAGTCTAATGCAATGGTTGCTACCCTACAAGGAAGAGGACATAAAGTGTTATCCAAATGCACAATAAGAAAAAGCGTTTTTTGATCACACAACCATTAGTTTAGGTTGCTTCAAAAAAACTTCCTAAATCTTTGATGTCTCCTAGACTTCCATCGAGGTTGACTGGATGAATCAAGAGTCAGTGCCAGAGTTCCATGACAACATCGAATGAAAAGGCATGAATTTGCCATTAATTTGAATAGGATTACACAATGTTATTGGAGAAAACACACACTGACTTTTGTGGCATTATTACTAGCACAGACTGGTGAAGCTCATTTAGGAATTGTCAGGACAGAATTGGATCTGTTCTTTAGGTGTTTGTATCCTGGGCTACTGGTGTCCTTGTTAGAATTGAGGAACAGATTCTGAAATTTACCAGAATATTTTTTTTAAATTACATTACATCATGAAGCTCAAGCTTGGCTGTAAATACATTTTACAAAAGAATAAAAGTATAAAACAGTAATCAAACTCAATTCCATGTTCTTGATTGGTCTTCACAGTGTAATTGAACATTATGGTAGGTGTTGCAGTAGTAGGGGTATAAAGTAAGAGTCCTGTGCAACCTGAAGGCGCTAGAGGGGTTCTGCTCAATAATAAACAACATTACATTTTATTTATTGTAATACACCTTGTTTTATCCACTGGAGTACCTTTCATATATTTTATATAGTTCAAGTTTCAGAAAGCATATCAATTTTGAAACAGCTGAAAAGTGCAAACTTCGATTTTGACAGCTGCAGTGTTGCAGTAGGCGGTGCTTAAGAAATCGTGGTTTCTTTCATAGGACTGACAGCTCTGAGCGCCAAATTTTCAAACTGTCTTCCTTCCTGGGCGATTTCTGTACTTCTGCTGCAGTCTGCACACAGAACCGGGAAGCGCTTATTGTCGTTTTAAAATTAAAGTTTCAGTCTTTCAAGTATGTCACCTACGCCGAAAAGAGCCTGCACAAGTCCTCTGAACGACAGTTTAGAGACAAGGGTTAAGAAAATATCAATAGAAGGCAATATTGGTAAGTATATTAAAATAAAATGTAAACTAGAGTTTCTCTTTCGATATGAGTTTGGTAATCTGTATCCAGACTGTTATTTTGTCTTACACATAAAATGTTCCGAGTATGACTGTGTTTTTAATTCTCTTAATATAATGTTTTACTGCTTAAAGTGGCAGAGCTGCAGTTTTGTTTCATACATTTATCGTATGTGGCGCCAAATTCTTAATCTATGCGCGGTTTTCATAATTGTAAGATCTTACAGTACCTTAATATGTACTGATTTTGTGTCAACAAGAAGAAATTAACCTTTCTTTTATTTTGTGAAATCAAGTAATTCAAACCAAGGCATTTTTAAAATGTAAAATATAACTAAAGTTTTTTTTTTTTTCCCGAAGGTGCCGCATAGTTCAATATTCATTATGGTGTGTCCGTTTTTTGGTCTTGCAATTTATTTTCAGTCAGTCGTGTGATAAAACATTTCTTAAAAATCATGAATACTTAGAAGATCGAACAGAACAATAAAACAGATACTATTATAAGTATCTTAGAGTCTTTACTTAGAATCGTTTGTGTAGAGAGCTTATGCTTCTCAGTTTGTTTAACTAATACTTAAAATGAAGGCTTTTCTACCATGTAAAATAAAATTGATTCTAATTAATAGAACAGTATGTTGTTCAGATTCCTATACTCTTATAGAAATAAGGCAAATGTGTAAAAATAAATAGCACTGTGTAATAATACACGTTTTTGTAAATTTTCTTGCTCACAGTTAATTGAAATTAGCCCTATTCACAAGTCAGGTAACCACTGTGCACAAAGTAATCATTAAACATGGTAATTGACACATCCAGTTTATGTTTCTAAATAGATATATGTATTAAATAATATTTAATAATTGCAACTTAGTCAATTTGGAACAAATACATCACTATGAAGAAGACAAGTTAGGTAATGTGTCTCTTCTGGCCTTGTGACTTAACTAGTCTGGTAACTAGAGGTGTGAAAATGATGTCTAGATGTAGGCTGACTAGTAGATATTAGTTAAAATAGACTAATCACCTAGTCTATCACTATTCCCTTTAAGATCAGCTTGGAGCGTGGTAATTAGTGCCATTGTTGGGATCCTGGGTTAAATTCCAGACTGAAGCACCTTCTGTGTGGAGTGTGCATGTTCACCTGGAGTTTATTCAAAGGGCACCAGTTTTGTCTTCTGTTGTTTTGTCTAGTTTAATTGGTGTCTCAAAATTGTTCCTGTCTCTGTGTGTTGGCTCCATGATTGACTGCTATCCTGTCAAGAGTCTAGTCTTGCACTGTGCTTCCGGATTAGGCTCCAGGTTGCCATGACCATCACCAGGAATACAAAGCTTTCTAACAATGGGAGAATATTCTTTTTCAACTTAGCTTTTCACTTCAGGGACAGGTATTTTATTTTTTTAGGAAATCCCCTTTGTAATGATGGACGTGTTGCCCATTGTCTGGTTCTGAAGGTTTGAATAACAGTTGAATTCCTGTTTTATTTGATCTGTCAGCTGCAGGCAAGTCCACGTTTGTGCGTCTGCTGGAGGGATACAGCGATGAGTGGGAGATCGTACCTGAGCCCATAGCCAGGTGGTGCAATGTGCAGACTCAACACAGCGAATATGAGGTGCCCGATTTTCGATTCATCCATCCATTTTCTAACCACTCTATTCAAAACAGGATCACAGGGGAGCCAGAGCCCAACCCCTGGTGGCAGGATACCACCAGTCCATCACAGGGCACACAGAAACAAACACAGATATACTCACACTAGGGACAATTTTCTGAGAGGCCAATTAACCTACCAGTATGTCTTTTGGACTGTGGGAGCAAACCTATGCGAACACAGGGAGAACATACCAACTCCATTCACATAGCACCCAGGTCTAAATCCTAATACACTGGTGCAGTGTGGAGGTTTAGGGAGATATTAAATGACTGCATTTCAAGTTATTTGTCAAGATTGGCGTTGCTCAAGAGTATTCTGGAAGAGGGACCTGTTTTAAGGATATCACTATGAGTAGAAACGTCCTATTTAAACTGACAGAATGCACAACTGTAATGGCAATATTCAAAATGGAGTATTTTCTGTATGTCAATGTAGTCTCAAATTCACAACATTTCTGCTAAAAACTAAGTTTGGTTGCTCAGTAATGTGTGATAGAAAGTTTGTAAAAGTGGTATTTTGCAGGGGACCTTGTGCACCAATTGTTCAGTATTTTTAGTGTCTGTGATAGATGCTCCACTGTAAAATGTTCACATTATATGGAGGGCAGGGTGTGCCTGAAGTCTGTAAAGCAGATGGTGCACATACTAGCTGAACTGAGGTGCCTGATTTAAACAGGGATCTCTAGAGAATACACAATTCCTGATATCACTGAAATGTAATAATCTACACCAGGGTTTTCAGCCTGTTTTGGCTGGAACTCCTATCTGAGAAATCCCTCTTAATAAGGTTCCGCTAATTAAACATAAAACCCAGAAATTAACAATTTTAGTAATCCTATATGAAATAAAATTAATATTGAAAAAGGCACAGATTGAGCAGTCAAAGTATTACCTTCATCAGAACAAATCAGAAGTTTAATTTGTTTCTAGGGACTCCCTCTCCATGGACCCCAGGGTGAGTAGCAATGGTCTAGCATTATGGGTAATAATGGGTAACGTGATCACCTGTTTTTGAGGTGTGTGACTAACCTCTGGGCTTTCCTCTCACATGGCTTACACTGGAGAAATTTCGAGTCAAGTCTGAATGAAAATTAAGTTTTGTAATTGTCTGAATAAACCAATTCCAGGTATTTTAGATAAACTTTGGAAAAATCCTGTCAAGGATATATGAAATGAAACATAGTTTTTGTTTGTTAAACTTTGTCCACAAGTTATAGCGTTTTTGACTTTTAGTTTGTTGTTTGGTCCAGTTGGAGTGGTCCAATGAAAAACACCATCACTTTGCCTTCTGAAGGGAATATCTTGAAGCTTGATGGGATTCTGTCCTAAGGAAAGGAGGGTTTGTCTGTGCTGCGTGAGGAATGCAGGCTGCCATCTGTTGGGTACTTCTGAAACGGCAGCTGCTTCGTCCTGCAGTATTAGGTTAAACACAGCAGCTAAACAGATGGCATAGTTTTGAATAGCTGCGTTATGATCCAGTCCTCTTCCGGCTCCAGTTATCTGCCTTGCGGTGATCTACAGTAGAGAGCACATCACTATGGATTCAGCTGTCCTTATTCAGAAGTGCAAACCTACCATCTGTTTAGTAGCACCTGAGAAACGCCATAGGAAGTCAGGGACTTTTTGTGGCATCCAGGGTCTTTTGTTAATGCATAACATTTGTATACAGCTTAAATAAACATTTAATAAGGAACCTTTCCAAACACGTGAAAAAATAACATTTTCATTTTCAGGTAGGAAACATCCTTGGAATAAGTGAAAAGGACCCTTGCATATATGCACAGAGAGGAAAGTATTAACTAATAGTCTGTAATCATAACTGAAATGTGTAAATTGTAATTTAGAGTAAGTGACACACCAGATTCATAGCAAGAGATGTACTTTTGTGAGCTGGAAGGAATGCATTTTGCATCTAAGTAGGCACAGATGATTCTATGTGTTTCTATTTGTAGATTCAATGCATAACTGCAGGCTCATTTTACAGCCAGTGGGCACTCCTACACTGGGAATGCCATCTTTACTGTGTCTTGTAGTGCCAACCAGGTGAAACGTACCATACAGAAAACAAGATGCAGTGCTTTCCTGCACACAAAAGCTTTTAAAAGGGCACCTTTTCAACAGCTAGAGAGCTGCTTTATCACCACAGACAATGTATTTTACATTCTTGCTGAGGGCAGAACAATGTGCATGTGGTATGTCAGTGATCCGTCTCAGAAATCATGCCCCAACAAGTGCCTTCATGCATTTCACATTGTTGACAAAATGCCCCAATGACCAGCTGTCCTTATTTCTGCCTTATGCGTCTCATTAATTCACCAGCGCGGTGGATCTGTATAAAAGTATGTGAATTGCTAGTTCCTTTGTGACATTCCTTGACCACTGCTTACAATTTTGATCAGTGGACAGAATGTAGAGTCATTCTTTGATTCTGAACAAGTGATTTCAGGAAAACAAATTACTTTATTAGATTGCTAACTGGCATGCACTGGATCTCGTGAGTGACTTTGAGAATGTTTCTGACAAATTCCCGGGATCTCATTGGCAAACGGCAGTCACATATTTCACAGTGGGGTAATAAAATACTGTGTGGTTTGAGAATGTCTGCATTGGAGCCATTTTGCAAACTAATTATAACAAGCTTGAGTTAAATGTTAGGCAGCTATTACACTTGTAAAAATATATTGACTTGTTTTATTCCATGTTTTTTATTTATTGGCAACTATCTAACTTTATATAGGTCCTTTGAAGGAAAACAACTTTTACAAGTGAAGTAAAGGATTATTCCACGCTGAAAGGAAAAGAAAAGAGAACATTTTCTTTTCCTTTCAGCATGGAATAAACCTTTCTCTGTTCTTTACAACCTACGCAAACTGACGTGGCTCCCTACTAGAACTGTGCTGTAACTGAAAGCAATTCATACACAAGAAAATGTAGAGATGCACAAAAACAAATTTTCACTGCAAAGAAAAAATAAAATAAACAGTAAAATAAATAATACAATTTAATTTATTCCACAGCAAGGAAATTGCCATACATAGGGGTAATTAAAGTATATTAACAGTACATGCACATAATCTACCATAGTGCTTTAGCCCATCACTAAATCTGTGTCTCAGCTTCATGTGTCAAACTTTTTGCAAACCTCTCACAAAGTATCTGCACATTCTTAAAGGCAGCTTTAACCTTTCCTACACACACCATTCCATAGCCTCTGAATTGGCCTGTGCTACTCTGGGCAGAGATGCTCAACAGGTAGTATATAAAGGGCTAAGGCATTATATTTAATGGGATGACAAGAGCTTCATTTCCACAGTTCTAATATATCTGATATAACCCTGCAACTCACAGCTGACAACCCACTGAAGCTCAGCAGGTGTGACCCTGGCCAGTACCTGGATGGGAGAGCTAAGGTTGCTCAGTCATCCTGAGGTTCTTTGTGGGTCTTAATGCCCCAGTATAGTGATGGGGACACTATACTGTAAAAAGGCACTGTCCTTCGGATGAGACATAAAACTAAGGTCCTGATTCCCTGTCGTCATTAAATATCCCTGGGTGTTTCTCAAAAGGTGTAGGTGAACTCCAGTGTCCTGGTCAGATTTCCCCCAGGCCTTTCTCAACAATACCCATCTTTGAATTGGCTTCACCCCTCTGTTCTCCTCCCCACTGACAGCTGATGTGTGGTGAGAGTCATGGCTGCCGTCACTTCCTCCAGGTGGGGGCTATACGTCAGTGGTGGTGGAGGGGAGTTCCTATTACCTGTAAAGCACTTAGTGTGGAATGTTGAGAAAAGCGCTGTGGAAGTGTAAGGGATTATTATAGTTTATTTCTTCTATTAACCACAAGGTGGCAATGTCCTCACAAAATACTGAAACAAAGACAGGCAATAAAGCCTTTCTGCCTTAGCCACACGCCTTTCTACCCAGAGGCGTGGCAAGAGAATGGCTCTTTGCGTAACTTGAAAAATAGATACTGTACCATTATGCACATTAATCGAAAAGAGCTAAATGCATTCACAAACATATGCATTGGCTCCAGCCTCGTTATTTACTAATTATTGAATATAATTACTTGTTATTTAAATGACAGATGTAAGCCACAGTCTATTTCTGCTTCTCCGCAGAAGTTAGTGGAGTTGTAGGGTTACACACCCCATTTTAAATTGATAATTTCTTAGGAATTTTAAATACCGCTTGTGAGGATCCATGAGTGTTCATAAATTATTGTAGCATCATCTTTTCATTGTGTTCCCTATCCCTACCAGTATTTAATGCACTATGCCTCAGTTGTTTTCCTCCCATCTGTTATGTGAAACCAATGCCTTATTATCTTTAGCTGGTGCCACGGGCCAGATTATCTGCAGTATCCTGTATTGGCTTTTGAACTTCCTGTAAAAAAGTATTGTTTTTCTGTGTTAGAAATATTGCCGGGCTCACTCCTTTGCTGCCATTAAAACATAAGTAAAATTACAGAAGTGAGGAGGCGTTTTGGCCGATATAGCCTATTTGGTGGTTATAAGCATATTGCTACAAGAATCTGGGATCTTATCAGCTGTTTGTTGACGGATACAGCCATGGGTTTCAAACACATGGCTGTATAGCTTGTCTCTTTTTTATTGCATCCTCATATTGTCTGGAAGATGTAAACAATGTGTCAACATCAATACCCATGTCTTTTTCATAAGTAGCCTCTTGTAGCTTAGTGTTTTAAGTTTTGCATTTATAGTTGATATTTTTACTACCTGCAAAACCCTGCAATTGTCTACATTAAACGTTACCTACGACGTGCTTGCCCAATCTTGAATTTTATCAAAATCTTTTCTAAATTCATTTTCTGCAGTTTTCGCCGATCCTCGGATCATCCGATCATCTACAAACTTGCCTACTAACTATAGCAGAATTGTGTGTCATGAGAATCATCTCAAGACTGTTGATATACTGTAAATCAGGTTTTAGGTAACTTTTTCCTGAATGCCAACTACCTGTAACTTGAGAATTGAGAACTTGATCAAAGGCCTTCTGGAAATCTAAATAAATCACAGAAAAAACTGATAAGTTGTCTGTCTTTGTAGCAGAACAAATGGTTCATGCATTGTTTTCAACGATTGTTTATGGACTACCCTACTTGGAGAGCCTCTGAAACAACACTTACGGTATATTACTGTACACATACATTATGAACAGAATTCGGCAGCTAGAATTCTGAATGTGTCTTTGTAAGTGATCACTCCTGTTTTGAAGTGTTTGCACTGCCTTCCTGTCAGGTTTTGAGATCCTTCATTTCGCTGTTGTTCAAGTTTCTACTGTCCATTACATGACTTCTCAGTATCTAGCTGATCTGTTATCAGTTACCTTCCCTACGCACTGCCTTCACTCGGTAGATTCTGGTTTATTATGTGTTCCAAATGTTCGTCTCCATCTCCGGAGATAGAAGGGCTCAGCCACATTAGGCAGCCACATTGTGTGTTTTTGATTCTTGCCTGAAAAAATCTTTTTTTGATCTTCTGTATCCATTTTGTTTGATTTCAGCTTTATATGTTTTCATTGTATTGAATCGCTTTTAGCTGGTGCTGTGACAGTAGGTTTTGAAGTGATTTCTTTTTCTTTTGTGCGACACACAAAAACATTCACCTGGCAACAGACGTGCAATGTCTCTTTCATAAGAAGAGAGGTAACAGTGGGGGACATTTTAAAATATTCTCCTTAGCGCTGTCCTTTTTATAGCAGCGATTGAGCCCAGTTTAACCTGTAAAGTAACAAGTTAGATGGGAGATTCAGAAGCACAAGGTGTTTGCGAGGCTCGAAAAGGAAACTTCTGCCAAAGGCGTAACTTATGTACTCCCTTAACAGAGAATGTTTGCATTGTTCAGTTGGTGTTAGCAGATCTAGGAACAAAGGCAGCTTTTGATCAAGGTTCTTCCTTTGGCTGCAAGTGGTACGCTGTTACTCAAGACATGGTGGAGATAACCTTTGGACGTTAAACAGACTATGCAAATATCGATGCAAAGGTCAGTGTTATGACTGTATAAATTCTGTTTTTGGAAGTCGTAAGGTTGAAATAATGGAAATGTATTTATTTCAGTAGGACGTAAAGGTTTATTATTTAACAGTAAAGGCTGTTTCCTTAAGTTCAGTGCTCACTTCAGTTGTGTCTGCTGTTTTCTTCAAGGGCAGAGTCTTGCTGGGGAATGGATCTAGGAGTATGTTGTGGGAACGTAATCCTGGAAGAGTCTCCCACGCACATTCAGTGAGGTTGAGATCAGTTGGCCTTGCAGGCCTGTGAATCCTGGACCGAGGGTCCTGCTGACTAGCCTAGTTTGAGGAGAGCTTGTTGTAGCCATTAAAATACAGATCATGTGCTGCAGCTCAAGAAAGGCAGGAGGATGACATGCTCAGATGTTATAACAGTAATGTTGGAATTAGTGAAAAATGGGAAGCTCTGTGTTGACAAATCCCCATATTTTACCCTAGGATCCCTTTGTAGGCGAGAGATGAAGATGGACAGATACTCTCCATACACAGTGTTGACTCTGAAGTTTGTACTATTACTTATCAGACCACATTTGCATTGTTTGATGTTTCTGAAAGTACCCAAGGCCTGACCAGCCTCTCTAATGTGAGGAGTCATGAAGGGACATGAGCAACTCTGCATCTGCCGTAGAGAATATGGTCATGTGCTCCAATTCCTGACAGTTCCCATTGCGACAAACCTTTAGTGGCTATTAGGAGCATGCAGAGGCAGCTGTCCCCCAGCTGCTCCATGTCATTCTCAAGACAACATATCATATTGGTCATCTGATGCTTTGGACTCCATGATCTCAGATGCTATGAACATTGACAGTCTCTTGGAAAAAATTATCTTTTCCATCTGTGGAAATTTGCTATCTTTATCTAAACTTCATAATCTGTTTAAAGCAGAGGATGTAAATTTGCTTGCTGTTATACAGACTGGAACTTCAGTAAATTTACCGTAGGTGCACTGCAAATATTTGCAGTAAAACTAACTGTACCAAATCAGACTGTCTTATCTTTTTGGCACTAATGTTTGGCACTAATATAGTACAGTATTCATGGAATGGGTAATGTAATTTGAGTACCTTAAGGGGCATTTTATTGATTTAAACTGTAAACCTTCACCTTTCCTTATAACCACCAGCGGTGAATAATGTACAGTGGTGTCCCCTGTGCTGTTCTAATAGACTAAAAAAAAACCTATAAAATATATTTATGTTTATATATGTTTATATGGTACCATTCAAATGTTTGGAAGTACCATGTACTGGAAGTTTAAGGGAAGAGACAATATTCTTCATTCCCTGGATTTGTTCATATCTTACAGCTCTGAGTCATAGAAAGTATTTCTCTAGATATTCACGTGCAATGTCCTCATATGAAAACAGCCTTCAACCTGATGTTATGTGTTTTGACATTCAGTGAGAAAAAAAAACCCAGTACAATTCAGCATTGAATGATCGTGGGAGCATTACCCTGGAAAAAAAATAATATTCCTTAATGATCCCAAGAAAACCTTTAATTATATACTGCACAGGTTTCATCTAAGTGAAGCTTATATAACTGTACGTCTGTTAAATGGTCTTTCTCTTTACTCCACCTCATTTATAGAGTGCCTTAAGATATGTAAGGTAACACTGTGTATTTAATTTCTTTAAAAAAGGAATTAACAACGTCTCAGAAGAGTGGTGGGAATGTCCTCCAGATGATGTATGAGAAACCAGAGAGATGGGCCTACACCTTTCAGACCTATGCCTGCATGAGCAGAGTGCGTGCACAGCTCAATTATCGGAATGGAAAGCTCCTGGACGCTGAGAACCCAGTGCAGTTCTTTGAGAGATCGGTTTACAGTGACAGGTACAGTATACAAGGCGGATGGACTGTGCTAGTGTTCTTCCCCCTCCTCTGTGCACCATGTTCTGTCTTACCAATTTTAGTAAGCCACGTGACTAGAACGTCACACATTGAGTGTTTTCACAGGCTTTGAACTAGTGCCTGTTTCTAAGACCTACGGTATCTGGAAGTTACTGAATCATAGTTGGCCCTGTCATTTTAGACACGATTCAAGCCTCTGTCTCAGATTAATTCAAACGTTTGACTTGCCCTCCAAGACCAAATCAAAAACCCAGTGAAGCCTCTGGTAAACAACAAGTGTGTTGTTATTTTGTGATCAGTTGGTGGGTAGGCAACTAAGGTAAATTTTATTTTTATCTGACTTCTGCAGTGATTTTTCCAGCATACAGCATTTAAAAACATAGTTGTGTTGCGTGCTATCTGAATTGATTTACTTAAGTCGAATTATAATGCTGTGTGCACATGCCATGATGTGTAATCTCAAGCCAGGGTATTCAGAGGAAGATGCTCAAATGCACTGCAGAAGTCTGAGTATGTCAAGAAGTACGAAATGAATCATATATCTGTAATATTTTATAATTATAAAATATAATATAATATATATTTATTAGTCCAGTACCTGATTTGTAACTTTCAAATATGATCTAATTCTATCTCCCAAGCCAGCATGTAGTGAAAAAATCCTGTCTCTATGCTACTGACAGTGAGCACATTAACATGGTTAATGTTAACAATTATAGATAACAGAAAATGTGCACATTGTTTAAAACAAACAATATTAAAATCATAGATAGCTGTCCACTTCTTTTGGATATATAAACAGTATACTGCACAAAACAAAACTTTCTCTGGAAAATGCTGAAAGTCCCTGACCTAATCAGCTACAGAAAGTCAACTCTTAACATTTTTTTTTTCTCACTTAGCAAGCATTGTTCAAGAGTTAAATTAAAGTTATTATCTTTTTTATGGCTATTAACACTTATGTTTATACCATAATTGTGGATCCCCAGCTTTAGTTCAGAAAATGATTTTCAGTAGTGCCTTTCCTGTTGTAACTGGTTTAAGACATTTTTTTTTCAGTGTTTCTTGGCATTAGTAAAATTGTTTCAGAAAGGGTCATGTTCTAATAAGTTCATTTTTATGGCTTTTTTGTTACACATTAACACTTAAAAGGAAAGCAATATCTCTGAGTTAGTTACCTATTCCAAAGTATCATTTTTCCACTCAGTCAGATCTTCCTAAACAAGAGTAATATCGTAAGTGCAGCTTCCTGTAGAACTGTTTATTGATCAGTCATGCACCCTCTCAGTCTTCCAAGACTGCAGTCCGTTCTGTTCCAGACAGAACATATACCTTGAAATACTCATCTTTTACGAAACATACAGTAAGAACAGGGTGTTAAATGTTTATCTATTAAACCACCTGCAGAGGAAAAAGCAGTAGGTTGTGGTTTAATGTGGTAAAACAAAGAGAATAAAGAGATAGTTGAGCACTTGAATACTGAAGTAGGCTAACTTTGTTTTATGGCACTTGCAACATCCCAGATATACGTGTCCTGTCTTTTGTTTTTTTCAGATACATTTTTGCTTCTAATATGTATGAAAGTGAATGCTTTAATGAAACTGAATGGGCTATCTATCAGGACTGGCATACATGGCTGCACTCTCAGTTTGGAAAACAGCTTGCGCTAGATGGAATTATCTATCTCCGCGCAATTCCTGAGGTAAGGGAGCACCTGGAATTTCACTTTATTTCACTGTCTTAGAATCCAGTAACCAATATCCTCAGCGTTTTTAGACACTCAGTGTAAAATTCAGGGTCCTTTTAGGTAGGCTCTGTGAGGCAGCCTGCTTTTATTCTGGTACAGGGGGATACAGGCTGCCCTCAGCTGTACATTTGTTGTGAGCAATATTGGCGGGAAGGGTGTCATTATGCTCTCTAATGGAGAGCAGTCAGTATTGCTTGTCCTGTTGGGCATTCCTTTGAGGCATGGCAGCTTTCCTCTGGCCTGTTGTCATGTGATATAAAATACATGCGGCATTTGACAACAATCAAAGGTCTCAGACTATTTATTATGGTTATATAACTAGTCCTAGGTTCATTGTAGGAGTGTTGTTTTTATTTTTGAAACCCAGATGTGCTTTCAGTGCAGGGTTTTAACAATTCAGGCCTCAGCACACAAAGGAAATTTAAATTTGTCCAATAAACTTGCACACTAATTACTTACATCATAGGCACTGTATTAAAAAAGATTATTGTTATAAAGTGCTAGTCATTATTGTTTTAAATAGTGTGCTGCATTATGATCATAAGAAAAAGAGGGGGTGAAACAGTGATCTCAAAGTGAGAGTATGTAGAAAATTATATATTAATGATTATTTATAGTGCTTGGTGTTTGCAAATTTGTCAATTGTTGTCACTATTCAATATTAGAAATGCATGGAACGACTGCATGCACGGGGCCGAGAGGAAGAACAAGGCATTCCCCTGGAGTATCTGGAGAAGCTCCACTTCAAGCACGAGAGCTGGCTTCAGCATAAAACCATGCGGTGAGACCTCTATCCCTGCTGCAGAGAAACATCCTCCCAGCTGTGTGGTTTAGGAGTTCATTTAAAACTTCAAAAGCAACACAGTCACAGAGGCACTGAAATCCCTATTGATGTAGATACTGTAAATCTCAAGATTCTTGTTTTTAACCATGGGTATTTTTACTTGGCTATTTTTTGTCCATTGTTGTGACAAATAACATACAGTATTTTTAAGAGTACCTGTGTACTTTTAAGTGCTGCTTTTTTCAACCTCTGATATTTGCTATAAGTACGAAATAGAAAACCTGCATGGTGTTGATTACCACTTTCTCGCCTGATCAATACTGGGATGGGAGACCTCTAAAGAATCTCATGTTACTGCTGTTAAGTGGGGCAGGAGGGTTGGTAGGTAGTACTCTTTCGTCTATACCAGACCTTTCAACCCAGTTCGCCCTCACTTTGACAGAGGACACTGTGCTTTAGGAGATACTGTCCTTGAGATGTTAAACAGATGTCCTGATTATGAATCCCATGGGACTGTAAGATTGGGTTATTACCCTGGGCCTGGCTAAATTTCTCTCCGGCCTTGTGCAGTTGCTCCTTCTTAAAGTTGTCCCTTAATCCGATCGGTGTGACAATTTCTCACTAATTGTCATGAAAAATTACATGAAAATCCCTATATAAGTGCAAGGAATTCTTCTTATTAATAAGATTCTGTGATGCATTGGACAGACTTGTATACATATTCATGTTGACACACAGACACTCTGTGACTGTTTTATCACAGAGAAGGGATTGGTGCCTTGTGCAGTGAGTGTTCAATTAAAGTTATACAAGAGCTTGAGTTGTAAAGTCTCATAACAAGGGCATGGGAGAGTGTGCCAGAAAGTGTTGCTTAGAGGTCTAACTTGGACGTTTTACTTAGAATTATAAAAGCTATCACCATGTACTGTAAGTGTAGAATGATTAATAGAGACTCAATTGACCATAGAATCTAGGTCAGAGCAGTTTGGTTTTTAAATTGCATTGGCTTGGTGCAAAGATTCCGCTTGAAACAAATAAACCCTTATTAAAAATTGTATGGTTTAAGATGAGTAAAGTTTAGTAAAGCACAGAGAAGTTAAAGTTAGAATATGGTAAAGCTGCATGAAAACTGGGAAAGTATGATAAAACGAATATATATATACAGGTACTGTATCATGCTGTAATAATTCTTCTGATGGTACATGTATTTCTGGTCTCATTGCTTTTAATACTCTGCTAACCTAGGTTATAGGATCAAAACTGCAATCAGTTGATGAAGGTCATAGGCCATCATGAACAAAGCAGATCTCTAAAATGACCCTTTGTGTTGTTTAAAAGTCAGCCTCTCCTGTTCACAGCCTTTCCAACACTTTGTTACTGTGCCAATGACTGATTCAGTGTTCGAGTCACCTGCTGGGAAGCATTCATGAAAGCAATTAAAGTACTTTAAACAAGAATATTTTCATATTTTCCTCAGGAGAGTTTTCAAGTAAATAGGTTTAAAGGAATACAATCTTTCTTTCCAGCTTTTTAAATGTTGTAAGCAGAAAATTAAGCAAAGAAATGAATAGCAGAGGAAGACAGGTCCTGTTCTAGGGAGCAAAAATAAATAATGCTCTGTATTATGTACATGCATCACACATTAAATATTGCCAGAACATTGGACTGGTTAAAAGATTTTAATCAACACAATGTTCAGAACAAATGATGATATTAAAAAAAGATTGTATTTATTTCTACAGAACTCTAACTTATATTTTAGAATGCCAGGCAAATTGTATTTTGTGTGCAGAAAATCTGCTTCAAAGCAGATTTGTTAAAACATTTCAGATACAACACATAGGACTCTATGCTAAATATTATTTTTGCCCTTAATATTTGTAATAATTATATATTAAAATTCAAATTTAATTATAATATTTTAATAATAATGATCAATAATAGTGATATGACCGAATGTTAAATTTTAATATTTTAAGGAAACTAATACTTTTTCAATAATTAGAGGTATAGAATGGAACTGTGCTCCTACATTGGACAACAGTGCTCAGACTGCACTGAATATTACACTCCCAACTCCCATAGAGAAAGCAAGCTGGTGGTCTACCATCATGTCCTCTTTAAAGACTCTGTAGGTGCTTGATTAGGTTGAGTTTTATGTGGTTTTAGTGATGTGGAGAAGAGTTTTTTTAAGCACACCAACTGTGTTGCTTTTTGAAACATTAAAGTGCTATTATAAAAAAGCATATAAAACATGCTACATGTGAAAACAACATGTTCATCTATCATTTCAGAATATTTCATAGGATATTTTGTTTCTTAATTTACTGCATATATTGTTAACAAATAGGTTTTACAGGAATTTCTGTTAAGTGAAAGGTTTAATGCTCTGTTATATTCCACAGGATATTTTCTTCTTGATAAAATTTGCTGCTAATAATGAGGAAATCAAAACTCAAGCTCAAACCACAAGCAATACTTAACATGTCAGTGGCAGACCCTTGGTCAGAATTTGTACCTTTACTCAATACAATGTTAATTTCATAATACAGTATATTACACTAAATTTTGATGACTATGTAGAACCTGTCATTAGGACCTGTCAGGTTTAGTCAACAGGCTATAAAAATCCAAGGACATGATACTGTTTTTAAGAGTTGTATAAGAACACCTAAACAATTTAATATTTGTTTTCTGCAGCATGGATTTTGACTACTTGAATGATGTTCCTGTCTTGACTTTGGATGTAAATGAAGACTTTAAAGGCGATAAAAGAAAGTGTGCCACTATGATTGAAAAGGTATGGAAAATGTTTTTGTGTTCTCTGGGCACAGTTTATCTTTTGCATCTGTATTTTTGTTAGCATAGAAAAGAATGGTCTTTGATGTCAGCTTAAACATGTCTGAAATAGGAACCCTTAAATTGTCTTTGTGTCAGAGAACAATATTATGAGTAATAATATAATTCTGTTTTGAGAACATGCTGCTCGAGGTGGGGAAGACACGTGTAAATTCCCTGAGTGTTGTTGTGGTTCCATACTTCATCTCAGTGTTAGAGATGAGATCCATTTCAGTAGATCTTGCCAAAATAATGTTCCCAGACCCAGACATTCAGTTGAGACATATTGAAAGCTGGGTAAATCCTGCAATATCTAAAAACGTCTTAGCAGAGCTAACAGAAGCTTTTACCACTTTTTTAGGACTTTGGGATATAAAGTCCTATATATGAGGCTTTAATGTTTACCAGACAGACACACATACCCGATCACAGAAAACTGTCCACTGTTTTTTTAATGTCTCTGGGATATGAAAAAAGTGTTGGTGTACACTGAAATTACTGCACAGGTGAAAACATCCAACAAGACAAGTCACAAATGAGCCAGTTCAGAACCTTGTCCCCTTTCTGAAAAATATATAGATAAAACTGAAAGTTCTCTGAAACCAATTCTCTATTATTGTAGCTGTTCTTAGAATTATAAGTTAAAACTGTAATTCAGGTGGTACTTTAAGTCATAAAACATGGTTTGGAGTTCAGCCAGTTGTTGAGATCTAAAAAGTGATGTTTGGAGCATTATTTATTATAGTTTAGAACCATGGCCTGCATCATTTAATAAGGAGTGTTTTATTGCCATAACTCCACATAAACTATCATTGTGCTCTATTCATCAATAATAGCTGGCTGCTCTCTTAATGCTTTTTCCACAGCACTTAAATATAATTTCAGGTATAAATGTTTGTTTATATTTATATTTCAGTGAGTGCAAGGACTAAAGGTGATTTCAAATGAGCAAATAAACGAAAATTTACAGTTAAATAAGAAAATTGCTATTAAAAGATTAATAGATCTGAAGCAAAAACAGACATTTGTACCTCCTACAATTCCTTGTCATTGCAGGACTGTGTTGCTGTGTTCATTGTGTGTGATGCTGAATTCATTTTCACAAATTATTGTAACGGAACATCAATGTCTGGTTGTGTTAATATTAAACTTGCATATGCATTCCTACCTATTGGTAACTCACAGCTCAATAAGAAAACTGTAACAATGTAAACACTAAATTTCAAATTGAACAGATCTCTTAAATATTCAGATATACATAGAGATACAGTTACATATGTAAAATCCTTCCTATGCAGAAAGTTCTGCAAAAACAAGCCAACTTGTACATTACAATTCTAGAAATGCATATCCAAATGCTACGATAAGGAACATTTTCACAAGCTCAAAATTCTCAAATTCACTAAACAACAGCAAACTGTAGGTTGAATACTGAAGTACTGTGCTGTTTTAGAAATATGGGGTGAACCATTTATAACTTGTTAAGTTTTACATTTTTTATAAATTGATTTACTTTTGGTATTGTTAATTTATATAGTTGATACTTTTGATCCGAAGCAGCTTTCCTTTGTACGTGTGTGCATTTTACTGAAGCAATTAAAGTGAAATAACTTGCTCAGTCATACAACAACAATGCCATGCCTGGGATTTGAACCCACAACGTTATAGTTACTCTGCTTTTTTGTGATTTACAATGTTTATGTTGCAATAAGGAATTGTAAAATTATAGTTGAAGAGTAATATATAAAGTGCAAATGGGTAATCATCATGTTTTCATAATTTCAATGCTAATTACATGTTCCTGTCCATTAGGCAGATCCCATCTTGTTTGTGTAAAATTGTAAATTGTTCTGCAAAATGTTTCCCATAGAGAGTCTTTTTTCTTATAATGGTATGATCATTATTTTACAGGTCAGTGAGTTCCTGAGCACTTTATAGACTGAAGTGAATGTCTGCACATCAGCTCCTTATGAATTCTGTGAAGAAAAGATGTACTGTATTTGCAAAGATGTTTGGTTGAATCATTTATCTAGTATTTGAAACTAAAAGTTAGGCATTATCTAATTAAGTAATCGGTTGTTGTTGTTTTGTTCCTTTTTGTGTCATCTGTGCTGCCAAGTTTTTTTTAAAGATTGGCAGACTTGTGTTTTCTGGTGTATGTGATAACTAAAGGTATCTGCAAAAAAAGATTTTTATATTTGTATGATGTTTTTGCATATTATAACATTGATGTAAACAGCTTGCTTTATTCTGAATGAAAATGAGAAATTACTTAAAATATACCATGTAAGCATGTGATACCTAGAGTAACAGAAAGTATAAAACCAGTGATATAAATCCCTGTTATTTTTCTATAATCATGTGTAAAAGACTTGATCTGGACTACTTGGAGAAAAAGTAAAATTGTTTCATTAGAACTCCTATTCAAATTTCAAGTGTTAAACTTGTTCTATTAGGTCTGAGTCTTTAAAAGAATCCTTGTAGTTCTATGACTGGATGGATTGATAAAAAGTGCCATTGTAATGTGGATTCCAAAATGTTAGAAGAACTGCTATGTTTTACGTTTTCTGTAGTAGATTCACAAACACAGAACTTATTAAATTAAAATGTCAAAGCCTTTTGCTAAAGAATAAACGTCAGTAATTCGTTTTTAAAATAAATGTTGAAAGTATAAGTATTAAATGTATGTAATGTACATAATTTTCCAGTTTTCACTGCCTGATCAAACATGCTGTGCAGTAATATTACCCTTGGTCTGACTTTGCATTAGAAGTGACACTAATAGAAAAAATTAATTCAAACAATGCACTGACTTTGAATGGTATTTTGAAAGATTTTGAAAGCTAATATAATCAAATGAGAGAAGTGAGTGGCATGTGACACTTCAACAGTGTGGCACTGAAGGAGTCAGGAGTCATCTGCAAAGACCAGCTCTGCTTTTTCAATAGTGGTTTTAGTGAAATGATTCGAGTGGTGCCTGATTTTCCTACATTGTCTGACATCATCACTTTGAAAATGGACTTGAACTGCATAACTGGGTTTATTTGAATAGGGAATTCTGTATGATGAAGAAACTCCATAGACAAGATTAGCAAGTTTGAAGAAAAACACCTGAAAGAGACAGGTGATTTTGTCCACACAAGGCACAGATTCATTACCTCTGTACAAAGGGAGGCACTGTACCTGAAATATCAGTCCCACCTTTTTTGCCAGTTGTGAGAATAAAGTGAGCTTGATTCTAAACAGCAAAATACGATTGTGTTATTGTATATGCCGTTCGTTTTTATCTTGACAAAAGATACAAAGGAAAAGCAACATTTAATTTAGGAATGGACAGGAACCTAGGGATATTAGTTATACTTATACAGTTTTTGAGTGGGAAGCAGCATCAGGGAGAAAGCTAAAAAAACAAGCTGAGGTAAATTCCACACTGAAAAGTTGAAATAAAGAAAAAGAAAAACATAATTACAGGTGTAAAGGCTTCTTTGGTATTAAATTATCTTCTGCCTTTTCCTATGATAATTGTATTCACATTAAATATATTCAGATAACAAGGTTCTGGTAACTGTCTACTGAAGGGGGATCAAAATGCATCCGAACAGTCAAGTTAAGAACAATTGTTGGCATTAAAGAGAATCTAATTTTACTCGAGTCATGTGTTCTCCTGTGCCATTTGTCATTTTCATTGGCAACTGTTGAAATGAGTTTTAACTTGCTTACAGGCCTGAATGGGCATGTGTACAGATGGAACAAACTATTGGATTTATAAATCTCAATAACATTCCCTAATCTGTGACTCTTGTAGAAGTTTAAGTATCATGAAGCAGATATCAATCCCAATAATTCACAACTGGACCTAACTTGGCTCTGGGCTCTTCCCAAGAGTAATGCCTCACCTTATTAAAACTGTGAATATTAAAATTATTCTCTCTGATACTTAGAATACATTTGTTGATAAACTGAATCTGCAATTGTTGTGTGCTACTGATATACAGAATTTCCTTTTTATTGCTCATAATGCATTTTTTCCTGTAAAAAGTTTTTAAAAAGTAATTCTGCTACAAAAAAGTCTGTAAGACACTTGGGGGTGCGATTATCACATAAATTATAACCTGATCTTTAGAACAGGTAGGGACCGGCAGAAGGCAGAATGAGTGAATATTTTTACAGGTAAGTTCATTGTTGGCATTTAAAAAGTACAAAAGTCCATTTATATATGAGAATTTAAATGACATTGATGGAACACCTTACACTAAAACCTATCAAATGAAGCTTGTCCCCCGCAGCTGTGAGCCACCTCTTAAATATGAACACACACCTCTGTGCTGCTAACAAGTTTAAAACCAGAGCAGTGTTTAGGCTTCCTGCTCTTCTGACTTGTAGCTGACTACTTGTCAAGGTGGTAGTCACTACTGTGTCATTAAATGGTTTTACCTTTTTTTAAAAAAAAATAAAGATCACAAATGGGTGCTTCTGAGTTTCTATGTTTGAAAACAGAATATTGGATTTTTATGGATAATCCACAGTCCCATATGAATCCAGCAAAATCCTACATTCCTACAGGAGGCAAGAAGGATCTTGAAGAAATCCCTACAGAACTTCCACAGTGCTAATCCTTAAGGAATTCTACATTCTCTATAGAACTTTTGTGTATTCTGCAGCAGTCCTGTCTGTTTTCACACTGCTAGGAATCCTGAAGTGTGTTCATACAGTATTCATACATTATTATTTTCTTCTGAAAACATTTGATTAGCATCAGCATGCATTGTCAATGTATGCATACATTAGTTCTAAATTAATGTTTGGATGTTTCAGCATATCTTGGAATTTCAAGATACGCTGAAAGGAATTAAAAATGATTAAACTGCACTACACATTTCTATCATTGAGTGTGAGTGGTTATTTTTAACCATCAATCATTGCTTTTGTAATTTCACATATACTTTACAGGTTCAGTAAACCTATCACGAGGAGAAATATTGAAATAGAAATTAATTTAACCAGCAGAGGTCGCAAAAAGCTCAATTCTGTTTCAAAGCGTTTTGTCTTTGTTACTGTGACCTTCCTATCTTAACTTAACTAAAACCAAATAACTAGACGAAAAGTACTTTTAGCAAATATTTTGGGAATTTTAGTGATAAAACTAAATTTGTATTATATACACGTCATATAACCAATATCACAACAATAATCAATTTTAGCATATAACGTTATTGATGTAATGATAAAAGTGGATCAATATAACGCAGGACAGGTTTTTGAACATTTTTCAAAAATAATTAAATCAATTCAATTCAAGGTGCTTTATTAGCATGACCAATGGGTACACTCAGTGTTGCCAAAGCAAATAAAAGAATGAAATTCACATGAAACAACAAAAAATAAAAGTAAAATAAAATCTAGACATTACATACATTTACAACAAAGACATATTATAAAATATTTACATATACTGTAGACCTATTGTATATTGTTTGCCGATTCTAATAACTTCAAAAACGTAAGTGCGTTATGTGTTTTAACGTACTTGAAATTGTCTAAGCTATACAATTATGTCACCAATTTCAGTTCATTCATGACAGCAAAACCGACCATAACAGACTTGAATGAAGTGTGAGAAGATTCAGCATAGTAGTAAGTGACCTCTTGTCTCTACCTCCCACTTGTGGTTTGTGACGTGGAGGAGGGATGGTGCTTTAAATATGGAAAAAAGACACGCAGAACACTGAGTAGTACTACCACACGGGCACATAACACTAGACATTTTGCATGCCGACACAGAAAGCACACACGAACAAATAAAGGAAGGTATTCCTAGATGGTCTGCCCGTTTTGTTGGGCATTGCAGCGTTTTTAGCTGTTCACAAAATTAACTTAAAAGTTGTTTGAAGAATGATACTTATAATCAAGGACACTGCAGTAGTCATGCAAGGCATTCATTGTGCATGGTGAAACTTTTATCTTGGAAGTTAATCGCCGCGCCTTATCATATCAGGGATTAGCACACTGGAAAAATACTAAACGTAAAAAAAATAAAGGTAAGACCGCATATCAAAACAGAGAAAACAGATAAGACAACTTCGCCCCTTTAACTGAGCCAACGCACTTGACTGTGCAGTTTTTCCTGGGTTCTTGAAGAGGAAATCGCTCAGGATAAGAAAAAGACAAAATGAGCGCCGATAAGAACAAGTAAGTAATCAAATCGATTTCAAAGCGTTACAATTGTGTGTTGATTTATCTTAAAAACTGTATTCAGAATAGTTCACGTATGATTTATGCTTCCGGTTAATGTACTTTTGAAACCAGCTGTAAAGTTAATATGAATATTGCCCCGGTCAAAAGTAAGTAGGTAATAAGATCTTGCAGCAGATGTGAGAGAGAGCCTATTGGAAACTGTATCACATTTCAGCGTCTTGGATATTGCACACACTGAGGATCAAAACGTGCTTTTTACATAGAGATTTGTTATTAATTTTGTTTCTGCATTATGTTTCAAGTACTACTGTACAAGATATTTACCACTAACAGGATTAAGGCTAACATCCGGAACCCAATGTAGTACATTTTGTAAATAAGAACAATTTAACTAAAAATTAAACTAATGGCATTGTTTATTTTAGTGACTGACGAATGTAACTAGCAAGAAGGTTAATAAAAAATTCCATATTCTAATAATTAAATGCGTTAACAGCAAATAAAAAAGCTTATATTCATCCAGTTTATTACAAGACGACATCTGGGGGTAATTCGCGATTATGATCATTCTGTTTGAGAATTAGCATTTGATTTCTGTATGATTTCCGCATTAATAGTCACGATGTGAAATTGTTTTGTATAATAGTCTTCCTTCTTGTTTAGTTGCACAGTGTTGTGTGTGTGAAGAGTTTGTTAAATCCAAGAAAATAAAATTACATTCCCGAACTTGTAAACTGCAAAGTGTATGTAGAATGACAAAACATTAAGATTTTAGGATAATGTTAATAACTGAAAATAGATAATAGTAAGAATAAATATACTTACACTGATTTGTTCTGATTTGCACTTGCTGGGCAGTGTCTGTGCACGAGGCAATATACAGTCATGTCTTAAAGTTACTTGTACTCCTAATCGGGACATTTTTTTTACTCTCCTTAAATTGTTCATGAATAGGATGTTTTGCACTTTTTTTTTCATAAACCACATAAACAATTTAATTTCCTAACAGATATAGGAAATATGTTTTTTTTTTTTTCTGGGGGGGAGAAGGAAGAATAAGAATACCTTGTTTCTAACACATCCACCTTTTGCTGATACAGTATGTTGGATTCATTTTCTTCCAGTCTGACATCAGTAATTTAGTAACCCATTAACTTAGCGTTCTTATTTTAAAGACTTTGGGATATTTTTCAAATAAAGAACATGCAAGCAAAAAATAAGACAATTATCAAATAGAAGAGGTTAAAATCATAATTTGATACATGAAAACACCCACCAGTTTCTATAACATTATGTAACTTAATATTTATGGTTGCAATTCAAAAGCAGAAAACTTCAGTTTCTGTACCTTCAAGATCACGTAAAAATAGAATTAATTGCACATTGTTTTGAACCTTTTCTTTATTCATTAGCATTTAACATGTCACATTTTACAACCTGTATTGATATATGATTAAATATGGGAAGATTCTGAGACATACCAGATGACATATACCTGTTGGTCACTGAAACAGTGGAAGGTTCAGTAGTTTAATAAGCCATTCTTTGTTAAAAAATGAAGCTTTGTGTAAATGGATGTAAGCATAGAAAATACTAAAATAAATGTTCAGATCCATGTGTTTATTTCTGAAGCAGTAGTAAACCTCAAAAGCTTGAAATACTGTGCTACTGTGCAAAGGTTTAAACATATGGCTTTTGCAGCGGCCTTTGACGTGTCTAGCACTACAGACTTGCACAGATGAATAGCCTGCTTTATAAAGTAAATCACATTTTCAGGTGAAAAAGCAATCATTAAACTTCCTGGAGCACAATTATGGAATTAATATAATCTGTCCTTGATCCTTGATACTTTATTCTGAATACATAGTTCAGTCATTCCGTAAGACAGTGTGGTTGAAGGAAAATAGGTTTCGTTAAAGCAACAGATAAGAGATATCAGCTTCAGAAAATTGGGATAGCAGGTGTATTTTATTACCTTGCAGTAGTTTCATATTATTTTATAGGCTATGTAATCTATAGTTGGGCATATTTCTCATACCACACTGAAGAATGAAGAAATGAAGGAGTACATCTTCAGAGGAGAATAAAAATGTTGGTCAAATAATGACATTTTGTTTCAGAAACCAGTTACTTGCAGCATTTTTTGGTATCAATTTATCAATTTAGTCACACAGTGAGACAGATTTAAGTTGGTCTTGGAGAACATAAAAGAAAAAAGAAACTTTTATCACAGGAAGATTACAACTATAGATAAACTGTAGATAAGATATCTAAAAGTATTTGGGATGCATTTAACAATGGTTTGCTTTCAAAGCATGTACTGCAAGTTGTGCTAAAGAAAGAACTACATCCTTGATGACACACTATAACAGCGGTGACATGACCATCGAAGCATATAACATATCTGTTGCAGTTCAGTATTGGATTGATGTCTAGTTCTTGTTTTCACTGTGCCTTTTCAAGGAGCATATTAAGAATTTCCTTTCAATTAGATTTGTGACTTTATCTTGAACACGACAAAGCTGTTTTAAAAACACCAAATATTTTTGTTTCACCCACTCGAGTTGGAGTAGCCAGTTTTTTGTATCAGATCAGGGCTGCAAACCCCACCGCTGCACACAGGGGGAAAATGGAAAAGAGCCAACCCACCCACCTTCAAGTTACTATTAACATGTCACTCAATCAACTCTCATCAACAGCACCACCAAGTGCCTAGGAGCCCTCAGGGACTGCTTTGTCACTGAGAGCCAAGAAATCCCTGGCCTCTTCTATGTCTATTAATTGTTCTTATACTGCTTGGGAAATGCTGGTCACAGTCAGTTAGTGAAATGATCAAGCTCGCAAAGCTTAACATGCAATCGGATTTACCGACATGTTAGTGATATTTGCACAGATCGCTCTATGGAAGGGGTGTTTTGACAAGAGGCATCATTGGCAGCAACCTGGAAGACAGCCTCAAGGGGAATCTTGTCTAGAATTGACCAGTGATTGTAGTTAGCAGTAGCTGAATGAAATTCTCACATTTTCTTGTTCGTATTAAAAGTTGTGTCAAAGCAGTCAGAGAATGGAACCAGTTGAGGGAGAGGCTGAGAGAGTTGGGGAGAGGAGACTAAGGGTAGAAGGTTAGAGAGCTGGGAAAAGCCTTTGCTTGGTACAAATCCATCTTAATAGAGCAAGAAACACTCTTTAGCTTTTGATCACATCCATGTCTGTAGTAAAGGTTCTTGCGAAAGGGTCCGTTGAGCCATTCATACAGAGCTTAGGCTCTTTCTTACACAACATTATTTTCATGTCACGATAAGAACTAAATTCCCTATCTGCTGAGTCGTAAATGTGATCAATTTCTGGTTCTTTGCACCTTTACAAAGAATTACCTTGGTAATTCTAAACCTTTTAGAGTTTAGAAAATGTTTTTGGAGGCTTAGAATAAATTAATCTCACACCCAAAGAAGGCTCCACAGCTGAAATGTTGTTTCTTTTCTTCTCTTTTCGGCATGGAATAAACCTTTACTTGTTCCTAAATTAATTTATTATTATCTGAAAACCCTGGTATGGGTCCAATCTGAGGATTATCCCAAAAACACGGGTTACAAGGTGCCAGTTAATTGTGGGGTGAACATGTAAACTCTACATGGAAGGTGCCCCAGCCTTAATCACTAATAAGTGCCCTCGAAACACTAATCATCATGCCACCTTGAAGCCCCAGAAGAAAAACCGTTTAAAATAAATCTATTTTCAGTTCAGTGATATAACATTCCTTTTTAGAAAAGACACAACAATAAACAGGCTCACAAATTTGCAAAGCTGTGTCAATCAAACACTTTGAGTAACAAGCTAATGAGTATTTTTGACATTTTTCCTTTGTCAAAAGAAAACTATGCTTGAAGTAAATACTGTAGGGAAACACACTTACCTTATTAAACATTAAGTTCTGAATGCACAAATAGATTTGAAATGTGTACATGAATTTTCACTTTCCTGTTTTCTCTCAAAGAGTGACATTAAATGTAAATGAGCACTGTTATATGCCAATGGTAACATTAAAAATCCCAAAGCCTATAATGTATTCTTTCCAGTGAATAGCCAGTGATTAGCCAGTTACTAATCATTGAAATTTAAAAGTGTCATTTAACTAACAAGATTCACTCTAGGATTCTGTAGGTTTTATAACCGTTAGAATTTTATTCATAATTTTCCACTCTAGGGGCACGAGGGAGTAGGAGTCTAATCCAGCAAGCTATGGAAGCAGGGCAGGATACACACTGGAGGGCACACCAGTCCTTCGTAGGGGAACACACAGACATAAACATGCACACATTCACAACAGGGCCAGTTTTACAGCAGCAAATTAACCTAACAGTATGTTTTTGGACTGTGGAAAGAAACCTGTCAGGAACAGTTCTTTCCGGGCCCTATGCGGGCGACACGATCCAAAAAGGTGGTGAAACAATAGGGCAAAATATCATGCAGGAGACAGGGGGGCGTGTCCATGCAGTGCTAGTGTCCGGGGGGAGTGAATCCAGGGCGAACACTCCAAGGGTAAATCCAGAGGGGGAATCCAAGACGGGAGGTTTAGTCCAAGACCAGGGGATCCATCCGTAGTTAAAACCAGAACCGGGTCGGGACCGGCGGGGCAAGGAAACAGGAACAGGAAACTAAAACCATAACGGAGCCAGACGCGGCAAGACCCCGGGCTCTCACGACAAGGAAATCAATGAGAAGCCCCGAGCAATCGCCTGCGTCTGGCTTTAAAGGTGGAACTAAAGAGGGGCTGGAATAAGGAACAGGTGTGGGGAATGGGACAGAACGAGGAAGGGCTGGAGCGCCCTTAAGAGGAGGAGTAACGATCGTGACAAAACCAGCATAAACACAGGAAAAACATACAAACTCCATGTAGATAGCACCCAGGAATTCAACCCAGGACCCCAGAACTACTAGACAGCAATGCTTCCCACTGACCTTTTGTGTCACTCCAATATAGTTAAAAATATATT